AAGTAGTAAGTAGTAAGTAGTAAGTAGTAAGTAGTAAGTAGTAAGTAAGTAAGTAAGTAAGTAGTAGTAGTAGTAGTAGTAGTAGTAGTAGTAGTAGTAGTAGTAGTAGTAGTAGTAGTAGTAGTGGTAGTGGTAGTAGTAGTAGTAGTAGTCGTCGTAGTGGTAGTGGTAGTGGTAGTGGTAGTGGTAGTGGTAGTAGTAGTAGTGGTGGTGGTAGTAGTAGTGGTAGTAGTAGTGGTAGTGGTAGTGGTAGTGGTAGTGGTAGTCGTCGTCGTAGTAGTCGTAGTAATCGTGGTAGTATAGCCGTAGTAGTAGTAGTAGTAGTAGTAGTAGTAGTCGTAGTCGTAGTAGTCGTAGTAGTAGTCGTAACAGTAGTAGTAGTCGTAGTCGTAGTCGTAGTAGTAGTAGTAGTAGTCGTCGTCGTAGTAGTCGTAGCAGTAGTCGTAGTAGTAGTAGTAGTAGTAGTAGTAGTAGTGACGCAAAGACCAGGCCGGTATACCTGTAGGATTTCTGAGTGCAAGTGTTCGCTGAAAGCTGATCTTCGCAGCAATTCATCCATGCCTGGGTATTTGTCTCACCTTTGTCTCACATTGAACTCATAGCAACGCATGGTGATAAAATCCCGCATGAGCTCTACATGATTTTCCAATTTTGTTTTCTGGTGGGTTGTGTTTTGTGTTTTTGGGTTGTGGTTTGTTGTTCAGTTTGGTTCTTGTTTGCCTTTGCTACTCAGGAAATCTTAATCTCTACAACCGCTAACCTTCGCATTCCTGCGATAACGGCAGCCCCACGCGTGCAAAAAGAATTACCACCTTTGGACGTGGACGATCACCTGAGAATTGTGATGCTGCAAAGAACTCCAACAACAGGTCAATGTCTGAACCACCACCAGAGAAACAGACTGGACCAGAACTTGTTCAAGTGCATAAAACGTGAAGAAGAGGAGTTGAGTTCGAGCAGCTGGGATTTGCACCACAAACCAGGTGAAGAACCTGTAGCCGAACCTGCAGGTGGCTTTTTGACCATTTCATCTCATGCAGCAGGGACATCATGACCACGGTTGTTCCTGCAAAATTGCTCATGGGCCAAGGACGACTTTAAGTGGTCACTACAGCACGCCAGGTGACGTTGGACTTCTGCTCTGAGAGAGTCTGAGTGTTGTGGATTCCGTTGGAGGAACATTTTGGAGAATCCACAGTGTGCCGTGGATATCCTTGTCCGACATTGGACAGATTGGCAGACTTGGCGTTGCTGCGCAGATCACTTGGACTCCACCAACTTGCAGCACTTTCATTGACAACCAGCCAGATGAGCAAGGTGGACCAAAATGCAGCAAAACTGCACGAGTCAAGATGGAGCAGTAAGAAGCTTCCTCCAGAGCCAAAATCGGCACTTCGAGGTTCACAATCTGCACATTGAGGTTCACAACATGCTCCAAGTTGCAACTTCCCAAGATTTCAAGGTTCAACTGGAACGTCGATGAACACAGTGGGACTTGCAGGAAACTTATTGTGCCAGAATGTTTTAGATATGTGAACAAATTGCTGGGCTTTGGAGACGAATAGGAAGTCCAACACTTGCAGCCATCATCAGACCCAAAAAGATCCCAGCACAACAGCATCAACCTGGAATGGATGCAACATTGTCAGATGCAGCAATGTCATACACGCATTTGGTTGAACGATGCAAGGCTAATAGTTTTTGTTTTATGTTATGTTGTGTTGTCCCGGCAAAACAAAAAAAACTCCATTGAGACTTGCTTCCAGTTTTTCTTGCCAAAACCTGATTCGAAGAAGTGTATACGGAGTGACATTTAGTTGCTTGAGGGGTCAATATCATCATGGCGCTTGCACAAACATTAAATTAGCAGTAACAACACTCGCAAATCCCGCAAAACTCTTTGAATGTCCGTTCATTTGCATGGTTTCGATGGCTGCCCATGGTTGTGGGATCCTTACGAAGAACAGAATTTTCAAGATTCATGTGGTTGAGTTGGATCATGCGTCGTGGTTGTAAATGCACGTCTGTCATAAACATAGACTTGCTAGCCTGTGGGTTGTCCTTTCAGTGTCAATGTTGGGGGAAACACTTCTGCGGTGAAGGCGTTGCCGACAATCTCTGGAAAAACACCGGCGTGATTGCCTGGAACTTAGTTTGGGAGCAGGAACCTTTGAACAGTGTTTGCCATAGCATTCGATACCACTAGTTTGTACGTTTTGCTTTTCAAGAGTTATTTGTGTTTACATACCATTCGCAGGGTCCATGTCAATACTCATTCCAAGTCAGGAAACATTCTAAGCATGCGGAAACAAGAATGCACTCTGGCAGGATTTGGGTTCCGGCAGCCTTTCAAACCGACGCCCGCAGCGAGATGCCTGCAAGCATTCAAGGTGTCAATGCAACGGACTACTTCGAGGTGAACGTCCAACGACCTGCTGTCCTTGGCTGAAAGAGATGCCCCCCCAATGGCCAAATGTCCTTCAAATCCTTTCAGGGTCAGATCCTTTAGTCACTGTAGTCCAAGACCTTGCTGGGCTTAGAGTCTTCGAGGGTAAACTTCATGATGTTGCAGTTGCAGAAAACCCCAGTCTTGCAGGTTTCCATGTCTCAAAAAACACCATGAAGGTGAAGCGGCTTCTGGTCCTTGAGGTCTTCAGGTCTTCTTCCATCTCTTCAGGTCTTTCTCCTTTCTCTCCGGTATCTGCGTGCTTGCTGTCTCTCGGGCGCTTCGCCGTGCTGGTGCTTGGACGTCGGAGCACCCTTCCCTCGCTAGGCAGCAGTTGCAGAGGCCCGAATCCACGAGTTGTGGCCCAAGGGCGTGGAGGTTGCGCCACGGCGTTGCGCGCGGAAGCGGCGACCACGGTGAACGTGTGGACACGTGGACACGTGAGGTGTCGTGCTTCCTACATTCCTTATTTAAGACGAACACATGGGCATCCATGTCCGAAAGCTGGCTTGTGGCTGTAAGTTGTTTTCCAGGTGTGCGCTGTTGCGCCGCATGCTGATTGGAGGTGTTGATTGCTGTGAGACAAGCTGAGGCTTCAGCAGATGGAGCGGAAGTGGCAGCGTGAGGCATGGATGGCCCAGAGTGATCAGCTATATAATCTCAGTGATTCGCATTTCAACCCCCTACAAGAGTTGGGCTTTGGTTCCTTTGGACCTCGACTGAATGGATTGGGAGCATTTTCTCGTAATATAACATGGAGTTTAAGCTGGAGTTCTAGCTGTGCAGAACTGATTCAAAGTACTGTTAGGCTTAGAGCCTTACATAAGTGTTGGGAGGTTCCTCTAGTTCCATCTTGCACGATTCGTCTCCCTCAAGGAATGTCAAGGGAAGAGACTCACCGTGGTCGGGGCATCCAACTTCTCCATGTACAGTCACAGTTCTCCATTTCTGTAAACGTCCTTGGCCTTGCGACTTTGGGTCCGGTTAGTCTCCTCCGGTCCTCGTTCCGCTCAGGTCCTGGTGCGGCAGTTCCTCTCGGAGCGTCGGAAGCTGGGGGAAGAGTTCCGCGCAGAGTTCCAGGAGCTTTGCCGGTCTGACGGATTGGCGAAACGGGGGGGTTCAATGGATGGAGCCCCATGTGTGTTGGAATATGAAACAAAGCAAGTATTGATAGAATGTAGAGGAGTTCAAAGACCGCCACAATATTTCTGGACCCTTTTTTGACAGAAAGGGGCCAGCTGCAAAGAAACTCAACATGCTGATGCATTTTGCCTCAGCTTTTTGGTGCTGCCAGCGAGTGGGGTCGGCGATGGCGGGGCAAACCTGCATCGGAAAGGGACCTATTTCACAGGTGATAAACGTGCTAAAGAATCCTACGAAACTTTATGCCCTCGTCCTTGTCTGATCTTTTGCCCAGCATGACTGACAGAATAGCCTCAAGTGTTCGTTCGAATTGTGTGTGGGGCATCCTGTGGCCACAACTCATGGACCGCGCGTTTTCCGCTGGAAACCGGGCGTTTTCCGGAGGGAAACCGACCAAAAATGGGAGAAGCCTTGGGTCGGACTCCTGCTCGTTTCTGGACTCCAGTTTCGACTCCTGCTTGTTTGGGCATACCATCTTGACGTGAGCCGTGGCCCGTTGGAGACCTGGCCACTGTCTCCACCTGGCCAAGGGCGCCGAGCCTTTGGACCGTGACCCATGACATGTTTGGTTTCAGGACATCCCCTTCTCTTGAGAGGTGAGTGTAGCCAGTTTTCGGGAGATGAGGTGTGAGTCAAGACTCCTACTCAAAACTGGGCAGTTGATATCCGAGGGTCCAGTCCATTGTCTACGACCACCGGAGGCGTTTTGGGGGTCGAGTCTAAGGGATCTACGACAGGAGTTGCTGCTTCGCTTGGACCGATCCTTCAAGTCTTTCAAGGCGGGTGGGCATCGGATTGGGAGAGGCTGGGCAGTACCTGTCAACCTGTCAAGCTAACAGAGACCTGGCACGCGCGGATTGGAACGATGACTTCGTAGGAGGCTTCCACTTCCATGATTTGTTGGAGATAGAGTCGAGCGATCCTGCGATCCTGCGATCTTCCAGGCACAGAAGCAAAGGAGACTCGCTCAAGTCGGCAAAGCCGAGGCCTAATTGTACACATACATAAATTATGGTATGATCTTGTGTGATGTTGGTTTGGGTTGGAAAAATCATCAGGATGTGGCATGCAGGAAAAACGTCTCAGGACATTGGTTCACCTCAAGACATTGTGCTTTGGCACTCCCCAGGAACTTGTTTGGATTTTGTGTGTGAGCTGGTCGGGCTTCCGTTGGGATCTTAAGGCTTTCGATGTGTTCAGACCTACATTTTCGAAGAGAGGGTGACCATTTCAACAGCATCTCCAGGCAGATCTGGCAGAAGCGGAACAGAGTCTCGGAAATGGTCTGGTCGACTTCTATGTTCAATTTCCCAGCCATGACATCCCACGACTTTTCCCTTTCCTCTTTGGATTTTCCATCTTCACTGGGTGGGCGAGACCATCTTGCCCTCTCTAGTCTCTCTGGTGCAGGGCTCCACCGCAGAGCAGTCCGAGGTGGGCCATGCTTTTGGGATGGTTGTGTGGCATCGCTTTGTTCTGTGTACAGTGGCTACATACCAACTATCCCGGACACCTAATACTACTAAAGAATCTTGAGATGCGCTCAGACAGACGCGGATGGCTACAGCATAACATGGGGTGCTCCCCAGGTGCGAACGATGTCGGGAGCACCTGGGCCGGAGAGTTTCATTTTTTGACGGAGTTGTTCAAGCTTTGGAGCAAAGAGATTCACACTTCACTGGCTTGAATCTAATCTAGCAGTGACCGTGACCCGTGAAGGCTGCAGAAGAAGCAGAGGAGGAGGAAAGAGAAGAGGATGAGATTGTCGAGGTTGGGGCATCTGACTTTCTGGGTGGACGGGTGGGCAGTACCCAAAAGTCTGTGAGTATGGACAGGTGCATAGGCAGGAAGCAGGAAGAAATTCAACTTGGAAATTCTACATTGCTTGTTGCCCGTGGCCTTCACCATCATTCACAATACGTTTGGCCCAAAACACTCGCATTTGCTGCTGAAGTGTAGTTATGAAGTATAGAACGTCCGCAGAATGAAACCTGGTTTTGCCTCGAAAAGGCTGTTTGTCTCACTCACCATCCCTGCGGCAACGTAGCCGGCGGAGAAACGGTTCCCACTACACTGGACGTGTAGTGGTCAGAAACTAGGGACGCTCTCAATATCCCGCAAGGGCGGCAAATGCAACAAGACTCACTCCCGTGAAGCTGGCCGGTTCGGTCCTCCGTCGGTTTCTGGGTGCCTTTTCCCTATAAAAACGCCCAGAAAGAATGACTTCCGCTCGGCTGGGGTTAGGTTCTTTTTGGGAGGGTGGGACCCCGTCAAAAGGAAAGGCCGCTAAAGAGCGACGTTCTTCAGGTGCAAAGACGCTCCGAAATCCTCCAGGCTTCGGGTGGGCGGGGTTTCGGGCAGAGAAGCTGAGAAAGGGCTTGGGAGAGGGGACAGATTGGGGGGCTTTAGTGGTGGAAGATGGCAAGTTCACTTGTTCTTATGATTTTGGTGCATGTGGGGGGACATCCTTGTGTCTGAGAGGAGCAACGCAACACAGCGAAGTTCTGTAGGGTGGGTGAAATTGCATGACATGCCAATACTGCACAGAGATGTTGCAGCTTGCTTGGCGATTTCCAGGTTTGTTATTCGTTTGTAGCATACCTTCGTGATGCCCAAAGTGCCCGTTGACTGTCTGGGCTCACCTTTGATGTTGGCAGTAGGTCTTTCCCCCTCTGGTGCGCCGCCCTGCTCCGCCCTCTCATCCGTCTCGGTGGTTCCGCCATGGACGAGTGTGTGGCCCTTGTGATCGACAATGGCAGCGGCATGTGCAAGGCGGGCTTCGGCGGAGACGATGCACCGCGCTCGGTCTTCCCCTCGCTGGTGGGACGGCCTAAGAGACTCGACCAGCACGAGGATCGCACATTTCAGCCATGGATGGTCGGTCGCCTTTTTGTTTTTTTCCAGCAGTTTGCTTTTTTGGTCCTGGACTGGAGTGGCCTGGCCATGCTTCAGCATCTCTGTCATCCATCGACTCAGGATGCCGGGTGTGATCATCGGCATGGATACGAAGGACGTCGGACGCGCGCTCAAGGGGCCTGGGTGCAAGAAACTGAATCAATTATTTTTTTCGGATCCAAAGGGACCTGAACAAAAAGAGTTACAAGACCCTCACTGTGACCCTCACAGGACACCTACATTGGCGATGAGGCTCAGGGTCGGAGAGGGGTTTTGACCCTGAAGTATCCCATAGAGCATGGGATCGTCACCAACTGGGATGATGCTGGGCAACTGGTTGAGTCATTTTTGTCTTTTTGCCTGTAAGCTGGGGTTGTGGCAGTGGTGGGTGCATTGTGGCTTTTGTCGAAGAATGAGGTTGGCGGTGCATGTTCCTGGTCGCCAGCAGTTATAGTTATAGTGTCGTTTGTGGGTTGGAGTTCCTGTTTGTCTTTGGATTCTTGCAACAGGAACATCTTGCGTCGGAGAACCAAATGCCACCAGTTGGTGATTGATGAAATTCACCATGCCACCTGTCGATTTCTTTTCCTTTGGTCCGTCGACCGACCCCGGACGATCAGGCTCGGGACCCGGGGTCTCCCGATATCCGCGGCCTCGGGGTCTCACCGATCCCTCCAAGGACATGGAGAAGATCTGGTCCCACTGTTGGTACAACGAACTGCGCGTGAACCCCGAGGAGCACCCGGTCTTGCTCACCGAGGCGCCTTTGAACCCCAAGGCCAACCGAGAGCGGATGACGCAACTCATGTTCGAGACCTTCAACGTGCCCGCCATGTACGTGGCCATCCAGGTGAAGAATTGGTTGGTGTGTTCAGAGTTGGTTGTGGTTGGTGTGTTCAGTGGTTGGACTGAAGCGAGGCTGCCTTTTGGACATTGGAATGGCAATTTTCAACTCTGTTTTGATTGAGTGACTGGTGACTAGAACCAAAGCCTTGAAATATTGAAACCTTGAGAGCTGCAGAATCTCGAGCACAATGGTTGACCACTGACGCTGGCGGCCGATGGTTTCAATAAGTTATATACCTTTTCAGTTTGTACTTCTTAAATTGCTCAACTTCCACTTGGCGGTTTCACCGGAAATCCTAGCTACTGTACTACATGCGTGAGACCACACGCTCTTCTTGCGTGTTTGGGGGTCTGTGCCTCGGAAGGTCTCCATTCGTTTGTTCTCTGCTCCAAAGCGACATTGGATTTACAGAATTTTCGTTGTTCCCGCAAGATCATGGACTCCCCTGCACACCTGCCCGAGCCAGCGAGCCTACGAGCGCGCGACGCTGCTGCCTTCGCCCGGTGCTCTGCTGCCTTCGCCCGATGCTTTGCTGCCTTCGTCAGGCCGTCTTGTCGCTCTACTCCTCCGGGCGCACGACTGGCATCGTCATGGACAGTGGCGATGGGGTTTCCCACACCGTCCCCATCTACGAGGGCTACTCGCTGCCGCATGCGGTGGCAAGGCTCGATTTGGCTGGGCGCGATCTCACGGAGTACTTGATGTTGATCATGATGGTGCGGGGAGGGTTTGAATCTGATGTGCGCATGTCAACGTAGAAACCTTTTTTTCAAGTAGGGCTGGTCAAATGCTGGTCGTCACTATTGTGCTGGGAACTCCAGCAATAGATCATAATATATAGATCCCCAAAGTGAGGTAACTGCGCATGGGAACTGATCCTTTCCCTTGAGGAGAGTGGCTATGCGTTCACGACCACGGCGGAACGAGAGATCGTGCGTGATATCAAGGACCAGCCGCCGTTGGTGGTCGCCTGGTGGGTGATGGGGAGATGGTTCGGGAAATGGGCCGAGGGATGTGGGAAATAGTTGAAGAGGATTGATTCAACTTTGATACAATGAGAGAAATCGCGGGAACTTGGATTGGAGATCAGTTTGTACTGGGCCTTTAATTGAATCAGCGCCCAAAAAATGGAATGCTGGGCGGGGGAAGTACTTCGTTTAGCCTGTTAAGAAGAGTGTTAGTGATATCTTTCTGCAGACAATCATGGAAGTCGGGCAGCCCTCTGTAGAGGAAAATTGTCTTCCAGGGGCCCAGGGGCCTATAATTGAATAAGTGTTCCACTTGCCTCTGAGGGAGGGCAAGGTTCGGCCGACCCACGCCTCTTAGGGAGCTTTACTTGGGTTTGTTGCCAGAAGAGTTTGTGACCGTCTCCAATCAATGGCCAGATGGGTTGCAACCGCATGCGGGGAAACCATCTTGCCACTGGAGGAGAAGCTTTGTTATGTTGCCTTGGACTTTGACAGTGAGATGAAGCAAGCTGCATTAAGTCACGAAGGCGCCAAGACCTACGAACTCCCTGATGGGCATGTCATTTCCCTTCACGCGGAGCGGTTCCGTTGCGCAGAGCTCCTCTTTCAACCCAGCCTGATGGGAAAGGAGGCGATGGGCATCCATGACACCACCTTTCAGTCCATCATGAGGCCGAAGGAGAACCTGAAATCCGGATGTTCAACACCGAGAAACATATTTTAACATATTCTATTTTGGCAGAAGGATGAAAGAAGCTCATTTTCTCTCGTGCAGTCTGTCTTAAAGGAAGCAGGCCCATCGATCGTGAGGTGCGATGTGGACATCCGCCGCGATCTCTACTGCAACATCGTCCTCTCTGGTGGTTCGACGATGATGCCGGGCATTGGTGAGCGCATGACCAAAGAACTTAGTGCCCTGGCGCCTTCCACGGTACGAATCAAGGTCATTGCGCCTCCGGAGAGGAAGTACAGCGTGTGGATTGGTGGATCCATTTTGTCGTCCTTGACCACTTTCCAGCAGATGTGGATCTCGAAGAGCGAGTATGATGAGCAAGGACCCACGATCGTGCACCGGAAGTGCTTGTAATTCGCTTTTGATTTTGGTCCAACCTCGAGTCCAACCATCTTGAGGTGACCATGTTGCAGAGGGGCGCGGCACTTGCTCGTTTCTCTCAAGTTCATGGTGCCTCTCAGAATGGGCGTAGCATTGTACAGTAGCTCTTGGACTTGGCTCTCTTTGAAGCTGATCGAAAATTGCAAATTGGACTAGGGTGCTTCTCAACAATAGACGGCAACTCCAGTATGGCCCCAGTATGGCTCCTTGGACCAACTCAGTCTGAGACTTGGTCAAGCTCTCTCAACTTGCCAATGCTTATCTGAGGCACGACATTTTTGGGGTTTGCACTTACCGTACTTACCCTTCGAACACATCGGATGAATGTGTCAGATCACTCCTGCATCCATTTTTCTATCGGATGAAGGGTCTTCAGCACCCGAACTGACCCGAGCGGAGCCGACCTCGCCGCTCAGGAAAGCTTCATAACCTAATAGCGTCCTTGCTCCTAGTAGCGATGCCCTTGCTCCCAGTAGCTTCTTGTTCCTAGTAGCGATGGCCTCCAAGCTACTTGCGATGGCCTCCACCGAGCATAGCGTCCTTGGTGTCAGGAAAGCTTCATTCAGCTCTCCTCGTACCTTGGTGCACCCGGGTTCCTGGGGCGGACGAGGACGTGCGGGGCGGCGTTCGGACGGCGACCTGCTTCTTTTCTCCGAATTGTTTGTTACTATGCATGTTCAACGAATTTGTGGATGAAGATCCCGAACCTCGAACTGGTGGTGATGCTTCTTTCTCAGGTCTGTGAAGTGCGATTCGCACGAGTGATTTGTTGTGTCCTTTCCACTCCCCAACAGGGAGGCGGCAGTTGCACAGTTCACACGTGTCTTTATACGAAATCGACTTTTCGGGCCGGTTTTCTTTGCGGCATGGGGCTTAGAAGCTGGGACATGGAGCATCAGGGGATGAGCCGATGTCTTTCTCATCTTTCGAGATTCCGTGCTTGCATGGAGCATTGTTCGACAGGAGGGGAATGCCAGGACAGCACTCACGCGGTCGGTCGCAGATGACCCGGCACGGCACGAGCGGCACGACCGTCCCCAGGCATCCCACGCTGTCGGCGTCCATGTCCACGTTTCCGCTGATCACCCAGCCGGTGGCCTCGGGCTTTGACATGAAAAGAACACGGAGAAACGGCGGTCCTGCTGATGTGGAGGAATGTAGCCATGTAGCTGGTGAGACAAATAGGATGCTTTGCAAGGATGGTTGAGATATGGGATGGAGCTGGGCCTGGGCAGTTGTGCAGGGTCAGAAAGAAAGGCGAAGACAAAAGGACGCAAGACATGGGAGCTATGCGCTGGCAGCGATGTACTGGGAAAATGGACTGCGATAGCGCCGGGGTGGATTCTAAGTACCAAACATCCAAGCACGCCCCGTAACGAACCTCTTGAGTTTCAACGAACGTCTCGCCTCTCCCAAATTCTTCCTTTTTGAACGTCCCTCTCGTCACGCATCGTGGGCCCGCTCCGGAGGGGAGGGGGCGACACCACAGACATGAGAGACGTGAGAGATGACCCCATGTGCACCGACGGCTGGACACGAGAACGAGGCCACCGGACGAGAAGCCGCCGACTCCGAAGAGCGAGACGGTGGAGACACCGTGCCGAGCGCCGTGCCGAGTGCACTCGGTCAAAGCCATCGAGTTGAAAAGCCAGGCGTGGCGTGGTGTGAAGACATCACAGTGAGCGAAGCATCTCAGCTTCAAGAACCTTTCGCCGGGTGTACTAGTTGGTTGTTCTCAAACATGACAACAGCTGGTGTTGGTGCAATGTCTCCACCTGCTTTTTGAGGACATGTTGTATAGATACAGTTACATATAGACGATATATGTTCCCCACCTGAGTGCATTTCAGGGAAAAGGACTCGGCTTCATTCAGGATTTGGCAGTGAGGGTGAAAAACAACCGCCAGTTGGACGAGTCCACATGCAGATGGTTCGTCTTTCTCTGCCGAGCCCACGCTTTTGTTCTCAAATTGGATCACACTTTCTGGCTTGGTTGGTGGAACAAAGTGGGTGATCTACAAGGGATAAAAGACTGCATAGAATAAACCCCTCTTGAGAGACACACCCTTGGGTTGGGTGGACTCATGCCAGAACCCAACACGTTTTTTGTGTCAGATGTCTCAGTGTGGGTTGACTCACCAGTGGTGCCCCAAGTTCCAGTCCCATATGCTGATGCTTCACGGCGTCCCATCGCCGAATGGTGATGGATGGACGCCAACCCCCATCGCCGTCGCTGGAGGCGCGGAAGTTGGCACTGGTGCAGAGATATGCCGCTGCAGAGGGCTCAGTGGTCTCAGTGGCCGCTTGTTTCTTTCCTGTTTAGAAACCCATGCAAATGGATATGGTCCCAAAAATATGTGGCTGAGGGGTGCGGAACTGTACCATATTTTACCAGCGGTTTGGATGTGGTACCCCATGGACCTGTAGCACAGGGTGAGATAAACTATGGTTGCTGCGGGTGGGGACGGACACCTGGCATCACTTGCCAAACTCAGCGTGTATGTTACCTAAGATCCTATGTTCATTTTCTAACGATCATTTTACCTATCCTTGAGAGGCCAGGCTGAGGCCAACCCACACAGACGTGCACTGTTTTGTGTACGTGTTTCCTTCGAATTTGGCCATCTGAGGCAGCCAAGCTTCAAGCAAAAGCAGAGAAGATTGAGGCGCAAGCTGAAGCGAGTTCAATTGGACACAGACGGCGCTTTATCTTTGGGTGAAGAGAATCTTTTCGCCACCGTTTTGGTCAGGAGGAATGGCGACAAAGCCACCAGGTGAAACAAAAGGCCAGGGCGTGTCGCGGTCTTTTCGGGGCAGTTGTCCCGGACGACGGACGCGCGTTTCGGTGCTATACCCCTCGTCGAGCAGCGCCGAAAAGATCTTGTAGGTCGTAGGTGTCTTGGGACGAAAAGGGACCAATAGGGACCTGTCGGATCGTGACAGTCAACCTGCCAACAGAGGTTGAAGAACCGAAAACAGACTCAACCCAGTACTCATTAGACTATCCCAGTTGGGTACCCCATTCTGGGTCCTCGGAGGTCACTTAACCGGTGACCGTCGGCCCGACCGTCGGCCCATTGGGTCCTTTGGAACCGGATGTCTCTCACCGCGGTCACCGCGGTCACACGTGGTCCCTCGTTCTGTGGAACCTCAGTAAGACGAAAGAGAGCGGTTTGGCCGGTGAGTGAAAGCCTTGCGTGTTGGACCACCTCAAAAGGTTCCAAGAAGGACATGACATATGTGGGTGTATGTTCCAAAAGGAAGTGGGCCCCCGGGCCCCCCCAAGGCTTTAGTGAGACGCCCAAACACGGTGTCAGGATGTCCCAAGGGGCGAACGCGACCGAACGCGGCGAAACCATGCCATGTGGGTCGGTCAACTTCACAGGAGGCGCGGCGAAACCACGAGGAGGAGCCGATTGAGCCGTGGAGGGAGAGTAAAACATGCGTTCGAGCAAGTCAAGTGGATGCAGTTTATGGGCCTATATACTAAAGTAATACTATAATACGTTTGGAATCCAGCTTTGGACATGAGTTTCCTTAGTTTCCTTCAAATGACAGCTACTCTATACATCGGCTTAAATTCAAATTGAAGTCGTGTCATGTGGGGACCTGAAATCAAGGCCTTTTCTCAAAGGTTCACAGTACTGGCTGCCTTAAATTCAGATTAAGACCTTGTGGTCTCCTAGGCGGCTGAACTTTAGATTGAAGACCACCCGAAGTCATTGGCTTTCCATCGAATTTCAATTTCGCCAGAAAATGGCTCAGGCTGATGAGGTGGAAGTTGAGACCCATTCCAAAGGAAGCAGGCCAAAGCTATGGAAGCTTGTCGCGTTGATGGGTGTGCGTGAGTCAGAGTCTCTTCGAGCGGCTGGAAAAGTGGCTGGCTCTCCTCTCAGAAGATCACTCACAAGACTCTCACCAACTGCTCTCACAATGGGACAACAACCTTGATAGCTTGGCGTCTTGCTTCCCAAGACTGCTCTTACCAACATGGCTTTTCGTGGGCTGAAGACAACCAGCTCCAGGTTGGAAGCAGTGGCAAGCACACAGGGAACAAGAACACGGCAGCCTCGAACCACACACCTCTTTCGAGGTCAACAGTCTGTCCACACGGTAGCGGCCCAGTCCTTCAGGCCAAGGTCTCGACAGCGCCCGAGCGGCTTCATAGGACTGGTGAAGCAGGTCGCTCGCAATCCTTGAAAGCGCTGCCCTGAATGAAGCCCAACCCAAAAAAATCTGTGCTCTCCCTCCGCCAAAGTGGCCGACTGCCACCTCCTGGAGCTCTGGTCCAAGCTTCACCCTCAACATGCGAATTCTACCAGGTTCATGGATCATCCTGATTAAAGCCTGAACCACAAGGCTTTGGTTCTGAAACGCCAGGGGAACTTCGATCTCCCGTGTTTGAGGCAATGACTGCCACGTATTGACCAGTGGACCAAATGGGTTGACTCACCAGGTCTGAGAAGGTGACACGTTCTTTGGGAAGCATCTTGACGCCGTCCTTGGAGCTCATGACAATGTCCACGTCGCTGTGGCCATAGGTTTGTATCTTCGCGCCTTGGGCATTTTGCAGATACGGACTTTACTCATCAGATGTCCTGGGAAGAGAGAAGCATCAGCACCAGAGTCGACGATCACCGTGACCATCTCCGTTCCTTTCTCTCCGTCACTCTCGCTCTCACTGTTCTCAAACTCCTTGATGGTGTTGATCACGTAGTCCTGAGCTGTGGCCGCAGCCTGAGCTGCTTGTAAAGCAGCCTGAGCTGTGTGGATGACAGCCTGTCTCAGCTCTGGTACTCCAGCTCCTGCCAGGGCCATCGTCAAGCCAGGATCTGGTTATCCATCCGTGGAAGCCGAAGTCGTATTGGGGGACGTGCTAGAAGATCTGGATGTAGGGCCGTGAAGAGTTCCTCAACCAACTTGTCAAAGTCCAGGATGTAGGCAAAGGAGTAATTGAGGAGGCTTTGAACAACTGGACCAAAAGCAAGAACCAGGGTGATGGCTTTTGCAGGTCTACCTTGGTGGAGCGCCGTGGGCCTTGGGAACTGACCACTGGATGGCTTTGTCCGCGTGAGCTGGCAAAAACCATCGCCCCATGCAGTGTATGAATAGCGGCTGATGGAAACGACTATGACACCTCGAACCTGACCAGTCGCGGTCACTGTATTGTCCCAGCACCTTCAAGTTGGCGAGCTTCTTCAAACTTCCTGCCTTTGGGCATGACATTGTCGATGCAAGCTCTTTGATGGTGTAGGACACATCGGGCCTTTGCTGCAGCAAGTAGATGCCGCAGCCCACCAGCAAGCGATATAGGCCTTGCTAGTTCCGGCATCACCTCAACCGAACCATTAGACCCAGAAGCTTGGTTCTACCCATCTTCTCCTCATACATCTCGACCATGCTCTCGGCTCTCGGCATACTTTCCAGGCGTGACCTTCAGTCCATATTCCTTCTCCATTTAGGTCCTCCTCAGGAACTGAAACGACTTTCCTGGTCAAATGCTGCTCTGCAATCTTGAAACTTACCTTGATGTCTGGAATGAACTGGTCCAAAAAGCTTTTCTCTCACTCACAACAGATCCGGTGAACGCGCCGGTCAGAGCAATTGAACGTAGTGTCTCTCCAGCAGAGTGCAGAAGCCAGACACGCTCTCTTTCTGAGCCAAGCTGGTGTTGCTGCCCAGGTGCAGCCAGTGGTTTTCTCATGGACGTGGATGGCCCGTATGGGGATGAATGCACATTGCAAGCAGGAGTGCGTTTGCTGCTCCAGCCAGTGCAGGTCATTGGGGAAAACCCGTTCATGGATCAAAAGTGTGATTCCAGTTTCGGAGGAGGTTTGGAGGTCATACTGGCCTATGTCGCCTGGAACCATGAGGAAGCAACAACCGAGCCGCGCTGCTTGGCAAAGAAGACCCGGCACAAAGAATGCGAAGAGGCGCCCTGGTGGTGAGTTGAAAGAGGGGTCTGGATTCAAATCTAACATGCAGATGCAGCATTGGTGCCTAACAGGTTCGCACCACAGCTGGCATTCGAATTGAAGCCCCCTAGGGTACCCACATGGCATAGGCAGCACAGGTAGCTTAGACTCGAACTCGGCTCCATCTTTGATTTGGTTTGCAGCCGCATCCTACTTTGAAACTTAAAACGTTTTTAAGCCCATGCTGAAGGTTCAGCTGCTGCACTGCTGAATGTTTTCCCCACTCCAAAAGATCCCTTTTGGTCAGCACCATCATCTGCTGGGACGGGTGCCCCGAGTTCGCCGTAGGAGGCGCTGGAGAGGGAGAGGCTTCGCTTGGAAAGGCTTGAAGCAGACCGGTAGATGGGTGCTGAACAGGGATAGATAGGTGCTAAGGGGCAGGGTCTACAGTTGTTTGGCGGCTGAAAAATGAGTGAGTGGGATAGAATGTTGGTCCCCTGTGAAAATAGGTGTTGAAGAGTCTAGTTTATTTTTGGATCACATCCGTCGCCATTTTCAACAGTGACTTCAATCGCAAGAGCACTGCGAACAATTCATCCAGGTGGAATTATGTACATTGCAATTACATTTTTTTTCGTTGGAAAAAATCAGCAAATTACATCATCGAACCGCCAGCAAAACAACCAGTTCACTCACCGATCCCACTCAGCTGACCCAAAAGGAGGGGTGGTGTGACGAAGACGTCTCTGCCCAAATGACGGATCTGCTTTACGCTCAGGGGTAGACTTCCCGTGAAACTTGGGGGAGACCTCACTGGCACTTAAGCCCAAGTGAAACTCGGGACCTTCTGTGCTGTTGGATACCCCAAGTGAAGTGCAGTGGGTGGGATATTCCAACACCGTCCTTAGGCCCTCCTTGTTTCAAATGGCTTTGACCTTCCGTCTCTCACCTGACGCTCCAGGCGTCTCCAGGAGGAGCAACGCGCCCTGGGCGAGCGCGCGCTGCGCCGGGGCGCCGAGCGGGCCACGGTTGGTGAGATGGACGTACTAACTACCGTGCAAACACAACACCATCTACGCTTTGGACCATGAGGAGAACAAATATGAAAAATCCACCCACGGTTCGTGCATTTGTTGCTTGAATGTTGACTCAAACGATGGGAAGATCTAGTAAACAAAAAACAATTGGCCTCTGAAAACTGTGCGGACTAGCAGAATTGAACTGGTGAGTTACTTTGACGATTGAGCTGCTTCAGGACGATTTGGGTTCTGCCCCGTTTGGCAAGTCTAGGAGTCTAGGGAAGGACAACAGTCAGACTCCGTCTCTTAAGACCAACATGCAACGCAGGCAAATTTGCTGCTGACCAAGGTCCTGATGATAGGCTTACAATGATTTGGTCTTGACCCTAGAAGTTATATAGGTTATAGGCATATTGTTTGGGCTGGCGTTGTTTGGGCGGAAAGGCGTTGTTTGGGCGGAAGTTGTTCCTGGACGCCCCCGACCACCCACGTCGGCGGTGCACCTTGTTGGACACGCTGAGCCGGGAGACATCTCCAAGTCGTTCGGATAGATGCCTCCCCAGGCAGCAAGGATTACATCGGTGGAACGAAAAGGACACCTTTTTTTGGGAGTCTTGGCTGCTGCAGGGGTCCAGCGAAGCGGACGCGTCCTTCTCCACTCGGGACGCTCCAGACGAGCTCAGGCGAGCAGCAGCAGCTGATGCATCAGCACGAGCGGAGGAAGGAGAGGCTGGTGCTCAGGCCGATGCGGGGAAAGCTTGCAACAGAGGTTGAAGGATCCTATAGACTATCCGATCCCATATCCCATAGTAGGTACCCCAGTAAGACCCTAGTTGAGGTCACTTATGTAACCTCTCTTAGTTCTGCGGATGAAGTCCGGCAGGTGCGAAACTCCCCCGATCGGAAGGGATGCACGGAAGGGCCTTTTTTCCCCTCTACCGGGTGAGGATCGGTCCTCCAATTTTCCACTTTGGAGTTGCTGGCGATCTTCCCTACCAACTGTTTCCTGTAGTTGGTCTCAGCTAGCCTTGCTTGACATGCAGTGGACCTGTCTTGGTGTAGCGAGTTGTTTGAGATGCGCCTCCCCTCCAGTCCCATCGGTTCCTTCTGCTGCGCGGTGGCCCAGGCAGCAGAAGGTCTGGAAGTGCGTCGGATCTGGAAGCCTGGAGGAGGTGCCGTGGCCAGTGCTAGAGCCGAGGTCGAAGGGCAGAGGTGTTTGGTCGAAGGTCCGGTGTTTGTTCGGTGTTTGTTTGGGTATGTTTGACTGCTGGATCATTGTAGTCCTGATTTTTGCAGATAGCCGAATCTATTCAGATGTGTTTTTTTATTTCATATCTCAAAGGTCCCCTTTCTCCGGACGACAAGGTGCAAGTTCTTAGGTCTACTTGACACATTTCTTCAGATTGGCGGATCGTTGGATGGGACGTTCCTCGGCGTCTAGACATGCAGCCAGGCTCTCAAGCAAGCAGCTGGAAGAAGATCGGATGCCAGGAAGGTGGAACGCACCATGTTTCTTGGAGTTGGACTGCCAAGATGGATGTCCCATGCTGGTTGGACAGCCTGCCGTTTGCAATCGACTGAGGGTCAATAGTTGCTTTCTCAAGTCTAGTTAAGTTAAGTTTCATTTTATCCAGGCTATGCACAGTTCCCTTTCTTGTTCGTGGCCCTTGGCGTTTTTCAGGTCCTTCCAAAGTTCACCCTGAAAGGAGATTGAACTCCTGAAGCTTTGAAGCTACCAAGAAACTCGACCCCTGAACTGCTCCACATCAGACCTGCCACAGCTGTCCACTCTCGACTGGGACAGCAGCTAGAGGTCTTTTCAGCTTGAGGTGGGTTTCCTTTGGCGCCAGGCGAAGCGCCCGGCCTCGGCGCCGGACCGCGGTCGACCGCGCGGTGGACGATGAGCGCTGACGAGAGGTGGACGATGCCAGACTCAGCGGGGTGTGTTGTTTTGGGTCTACCTGGCGGCTGCCAGTGTTTCCACGCACAGCACGAGGGGAACACTGGCCATCAGCATGGCTGGGTGGTCCTTTTGTTCTCAAGATTTCAACATACTTTCGACCAAACATCCGCAGTCATGCGGCTTTGTGTTGGTGGAACATGGGCTCATCATCGAAGATGGAGGGGCCTGGCCGTCGCATCGCGAAAAAGGCGCCTTTGCCTGTGGACACGCTGGTGGCCAGCGCACATGGTGTTGACAGCGTTGCAAGAATTTTGGAGGGGTGTCTCAAATAAGCAGAGGAACCATTAGTTTCCCACTGCTTGGGCAACCTGGAGCCAATGTGTTGAAGATCTTGTTTTTGAGGCAGGTGTACGAATTTCATCCCATGCTGAATGCTGTTCTCCGCAGCTGTGTCTTCGCGTCTTCGAGAATTGGCCGCTCATCGATCCTCATCGGCCGAATGCAGCGGATCCCAGTGCTTCCTCTTGGGAGGCGCTCCTTTACCTCAATCCCGGGCACCTTCACCGGTCGCCACCCGCCCACCTCGGCTGTATCGGTCGCTTTGCGGCCATGGCGGAGCCGGTGGAGCGCAGGGCGGGCGATGTCGGTGTCCCCGAGGCGGGGAATCCGCAGCCTCTGTTTTCGGGATTGGTTGGCTGACGCACATCAAGGTACCCACTCATAAAGACTGCGCCTCTCTTTTTTGCAATCGTGCAACCAAAGGTGCACAGCGCCCGACTTCACCCAGAATTCCAGATCCGACAGCATGCATCCAGGGTTCCGCACGCTTGGACAGCGCCCTTTCAAGTTCCGAGGTTTCAGGGTTGAAATTCGTTCCGGCTGAGGCCCGGCCGCTGGTAGGTTCCAAGTGTGCAGCACGCTGCTGTTGAGAACATTTGAGAACTATCTTTAGACAGCCGAATCATTAAGTACATAAGCATGTCGCAGTATATGGTTATTATAGGTCTGTTGCTTTTGCAGTGCTTCCGTACAACTAAAAGAACACACATAATTTCACATAATGTATCGTTATGAAAACCACTTAGGCTATCTCTTTTGCCAAATAAAAAAATGCAAAAGGTGAAAAAATGCAACTACAAAAAGCAAAAGCAAAAAACACAAATCCAAAAAGCATAAAAAAGCAAAGCAAAAAAAGCAAATACAAAAAACAAAAATAAAGCAAATGAAAAGGCAAAAAGCAACACAATGCGAACAAAAAGCGAAAAAAGGCGAACACTCAGCAACAAACGATAAAAGCGAAAAAAAAAAACCAAACAAAAAACACAAAAAAAAACACGAAACCAATGCGGAAAACAATTCGGGCAAACAAAAAAGCGACAAAAGAAGCGAAAAACAACGGTAAAAAAGCGAAAAAAATAAGCAAACAAACAGCGAAAAGAAGCAGACAAATGCAGTCGCTTATTCATTTGCTATTTTTTTGCTTGTGCTTTTTCATTTGCATTGTTTTTTGGATTTTCTTTCTTTTTGCTTTTTCATTTTTTTTTGCTTTTTGGATTTTGCTTTTTGTAGTTTTTTTTCTTTTTGGATGTGTTTTTTTGGCTTTTGCTTTTTGTAGTTGCTTTTTTGGGGCTTTTTCTTTTTTCAAGATTCACAGAGTTAGCCTGGGTCCGGCGAACATAAATGTATCATAATGTAGAGGCCGGCAATTTTACCAAATGAGCTGCCACGGACTGCGCTCACTTTTGCACGGAATGAGCCGCCCTTTTTCCTTCTTCGAAGGGGTCGAACTGGGAAGTCTCCCTGTTTGAATACACACCCATTTCAGGGTGGACCTGCTCATCGTCTTCTTCGTCTTCAGCCAGCTTCGTGCAGCACAGGCGCAAGCGCAGGAGTCGAAGTCATGTAGAATCTAGAGATGCTAGCAAAGAGAGACAACATCATGTTGTGAAATTAGCCTAGAGTTCCCTCCAAGGAGTGTTTCCTGATGTGGGCCTGGGGTGATTTGTTCCGAATGCTTCGTTGCAGGACGTTGCAGATCATGCTCTTCCGAGTCAAGAAGGTGCACCCTTGTAGTCGGCGAGATGGTGTCAACCAAGACTAAGTGTTCTTGCAGAAAGTATCGCACCAAGTCGACCTTGTGCAGCATGAATCTTTGGTTTCTTATTGTTTGACAAATTCAATCATGTTGACGTCTGAGTACGCAGACGTTTGCATTACAAAGTGAGATGCTGGTGTAGACGTTCTACGGTGGTTCGATGCAGCCCAACCATTCTTGCGCATCAGAAGATGCAATGTGAACTCATCAGGACTAGCTCTAAGAACCAATTCCACAATTTTGCTCAGTTTGCGTGATCCCAAATCTAGGCTGATCGCCGTACCAAATCAAACCGTCGCTTCGGAACCTGCGCTCACCGGTGACGGAGGTTTGTGACACTGACACTAGCGGCTTGGGACCCAGCGCAGTGTGGACGTGACAGAAACGCTTGGAGCAGTTGAATTGGGAGCACCGGCTTTGAGTGGAACACTTTGGGCACTTTGACATCAGCTCCCTTCACTTTGGCTCAGTTTTTCCAAGCCGCCACAAGAGCGGAAACTTTTGGGAGCCGTAATACTGCGGGTGTCCTATGGGCTGCATCTGCAGCAACCACCAGGTGTCACAGCATGTGCAGCTGGCGCAGTCGCGGCGTGAGTCTGCGAGTGGGCCAACTTTGCTCCAAGATCGGCCAAACAGAAGCGCCAAGGACAGCAAGGCTCATGAGAAGAGATTCGAGCTTGAAGCGGATGCAGGAGTTCCCTTCCAAGGACGTTCGAGTGGTAGTGCAAAGTGCGAGGAGCCGTGGGAGAGGGAGCTGCTTGAGGTGAGTGCGGAGTTGAAGCGAAAGCTTGATGATCCACACTTTGTGGCGATGCGATGCGATTTGGATGGCTCTGGTGATCTGGATCTTCATGAGCTCAAGCAGGCAGCTCAGGTCTTTGGCATGAGGTTCGAATCGAAGAAGTCCGAAGATATAACAAAGCTTCGAGGGCTCATGGCAGGGAAGCAGCGGATCAGCAAGGAGCGCTTCGGTGAGCTAGTGAAGGAGTTTCAGGGATCTCCGGGGTTTGTGAAGGAGTTTCAGCCTGTACAGCGAACCTTTGATCAACAAAGCTAAGCTTTTTCATGCTTCTTAACTTGTTGTTCTCCAAAGGTTCACTGGAGAGGTGTTTGCCTTGCCTTCATTCTATGTTGCTGAGTTTTTCGGAGCATTGCTTTGCGTGGCGTATTTTGATCCTCGGCCGAGTGAGGAACGGTTCCGCACTCCTTGCGGGGCATGGCTTTGGGTCAGTTGCATCACCTGGAGACTCTGTTCATCAACTCTGGGTGGCTAGCTGCGCAGTGCGAATCCTTCAACACCAACCACGCATGGGCCATCCAAGAAGGCTCCAAGTTCCAACAAGCTCCGAACCTCTATGCCTTGGACACTTTTGTGGTGACTCCCATGTCCAAACCAGGAACATGCGCAGCCCGCGAGCAGGATGTTCACCAAACCATTCCTTGTGCAACTGGAGCTTCTTCCTTCTCGGAGTTGGTGAACCCCAATGGACTCTACGTCCATTGCTTTGTCTCCCACTTCTGGGGGCATTTGTTCTCCAGCACTCTCAAGGCTCTTGATATCTGGGCTCAAGACAACTTCCAGAAGATGCAAAGCGCGCAGGCGGAATCTCTGGTCTTCTGGATTTGTTTGTTTGCCCTGAATCAGCACGATGTTGCTGAAGAGGTGGGAGAGAACCCTAGGCAAAGCCCATTCAATGCGGCCCTAGCACAAGCCAAGGGAGGCGGGGTGATGGTTTTGGATGAGGATGTCAATCCCTTCAAAAGGGTTTGGTGCCTCTTTGAGATATCGCGTCTGAAGGATTTGCAGAGGCCCTTCGAGTTGATTTCTGCCTTGGGATCTTTGTCGAAGCCCGTGACATTTGCAGCAGAGTCAGGGGTATCAGAAGCTGAAGTGACTGAGCTGCTGCAAGAAACTTGCAAGGCATTGTGGGAGGTGTCAATGACCAAAGCTCAGAGTTCGGTGGAAGGGGACAAGTATTTGATTTGGGCTGAGATAGCCGACTGTCGCTGCAAGATGTTTTTGCAGTCATTAGGTGCTAGAGTATTCTTCGACACGCTTTTTAATACAGGTGGGCTTGTTGGGTTGTCACGCTGCTTCTCGACTTGTGATCACTACGTGCGCTCGCTGCTGTCCACTAGCATGCTTCAAATCTTCCTTACAAGGAAGGAGTATGTGGTAGCAGCAGAGTGCTGCTGCAAAGGTGCCCTGTTTACAGAAGAGCAACTTAGTGAGATTTGTGCAAGTTTTACTCCCGCAGAACGAGCCACCTGGTTGAATGCTTTGCTTATGGAGGCGGCTGAATTGCCCATGGCAAAACGACTGCTGGAGCATGGAGCCGATGTGGAGGCTGCAGACAGCAATGGCGACACCGTGCTGATGTCAGCTGCCCGCAGTGGCCACGAGTCTGTTGCAAAGCTACTGTTGGAGCGTGGTGCAGATGCAGGTTCCACGAACAAAACTGGCAGTTCTGCGTTGATGTTTGCCGCTTTAGGTGGCCATGAGTCTTTGGTGCGGAGGCTGTTAGAGCATGGTGCCGATGCAGGTGCGGCCAACAATGAGGGTACTACTTCGTTGATGGGTGCTGCTTACCGTGGCCATGAGTCCATCGTGAAGCTACTGCTGTCGCACGGCGCCAATCCGCGGGCAGCGGACCATGCTGGTAACACTTCGCTGATGCATGCGGCTTTGGCTGGTCACGAGTTAGTGGCAAAGCTGCTTCTGAAGCATGGTGCCGATGTAAGGGCCACCACCAACAACGGTGACACTGCGCTGAGACGGGCTTCTCAAGGTGGTCATAAGACCGTGGCCAGGCTATTGCTGGAGAATGGTGCTGATGAAACAGCCTGAAGGCGCCATGTCACTCCATACCAGATTCCTTGCTTTTGGGGTCCATAAGCCGCAAAGTTGGAGTTCCCTTTGCTGCCCCCAGGCAGTCAGAAAGTCGTGGCTAAGCTACTGCAGCGTGTTTTCAACATCTTTGGACAGCCGCTGGCAACAATGGTTGCACGACAAGTCCATGCGTCAGAAAAGGCAAGGAGACAGCCAATAGTTGCAGCGAGTGAACCGTGGTCGGAACAGTTGTTTTGATGGCTGAATTCGGAAGAGGTAAGAGCTCAACATTTCATCCTCCACCAACTTGGTAGAACAAGTCCCTTCAAGTTCATTCGCAAGGACCCTGGTCGAAGGAAGCCTAGACTACCAACCCATGATAGAGTTGAAGGAACTCGGTATTTGCATGCTTCCACTCCTCTT